GGTGGTGGAGGTTTTGTAGTGAGGATAAGGCTTTTTGGAAATCAGTGGTGTGTTCTAAGTATGGCAGAACGAGTAGGGCTTGGATCTCTTCAGTGAATCAAATAGCAGGGGTTTCCATGGTTTGGAGGGACATTACACAGATTACTGAGAGTAATCAACAACTGGGTGAGTTTTTTAGAGGCCAAATAAAAATCATTGTTGGTAATGGGAGGAGAATCTGATTCTGGCAGGATACTTGGTTGGGTTCTAGAAGCTTGAAAACTGAATTTCCCAAATTATTCAGTCTATCCACAGAGAAGGAGGAGACTCTCCACCAAATCAGTATGAAGAAAAGTCTATTAGGGAAGTGGCAGCTCCAATTTAGAAGGAATCTATTAGCTTGGGAAGTGGAGGAACTGCAGAGGTTGTGTGGTCTACTAGTGGTATCCCCAATCCTTAGAGTTGGGCTTGAGGACTCTTGTTCTTGGGCAGCAGAGAGGTCTGGGCAGTTCACAGTCTCATCTGTGAGGAAGTGGTGGGATACAGCTTCAGGGCAAGGTGTGGCAGTACCACCAGGGGTGTGGGCCAACTTAGCTCCTCCAAAAATGCGGTTTTTTTGTTGGTTGGCTTGGCGAGGTAGGGTCAAAACCTCAACCTTCCTCTAAAGGATTGGGGTTCTTGGTGTGAGTGTTAATAAATTGTCCGTGTACTGTCATATTGTGGAGGAGTCTGTGGAGCATGTGCTTCTGCACTGTCCTATAGTTTGGAAGTGTTGGTCTCACATGGTGTATTGGGAGGGACAGGTCTGGGCTATAACTGGTTCTGTTGCAGGTTTGCTGCATTGGTGGTTTGGTGGTAAGCTCAAGTCTTGGATTGGTCAAGTCTGGCAGATTATCCCCTCTGTCGTGTTTTGGTCTGTATGGAAGTCATGGAATGAATGTTTGTTTAAGGGAGCTCAGCCTGATATTCATGATTTATGTGAAAAGATTAAAGTGCAGATAGCTTTGTGGTCAAAATGGCTCTTGAAAGTAGATTACTCAATGCATGACATTGTATCCAACCTCCACCAGATCAAGATTACTGTTTGATTTCTAATTTTTAGTCTGATTTCTGTTGCTGTTTCTTTGGCTTTTGGTCTTTCCCATGGTTGGTTTCTTGCCAACTGTTGGGGGTTGGTTAGCTTCAGTTTTGGGGCCTCTATTGCTGTTCACTGAGTCTTCTTTGCTATTGCTAGCTCTGTTGATCAGCCCTGTTAGCTTCAGTTAGCTCTGTTGTTAGCTTCAGTTTCGGATCCTCTCTGTGCTGTTGTTAGCTCTGTTACTTCCCCTTTATTGATGTATCCTCATACTTGTATGCTACATTTCATCAATAAAGTTTTCTTAGCTTATCAAAAAAAAAAGAAGTTAAATATTATTATGGTCACATTGTTTGTCGTCACTGCAAACATGATGATATTTATATTATAAAGAGGTAATTTTTTTTAGGTAAATAATTGTTATGTACAATAATAATTCAAACTTAACAAGTATTTTAATTTTTTAATAGGTATAATATTTCCTTTTAACAACTGTTTTTTTTTTTTTAATTTATTAGATACAATGTTAACATTGTGGTCAAAGACAGTACTGGTTCAATAAATCTCACTGTTCAAGATAAGCAGACAAAGTTTATCTTGCGATGTCAATTATCATATTTGAAGAATATGAGATCAAAGGTAGGAATTATAAAATTTATTATAAATAACTTATTTTTACCTTTTTAAACACAATGTTATAATTCTAAAATTTTATCGGATAATGGACTTAAAATGATTAAAGATTATATTGCGTCATGCCAAGACGGTGCCTATGCATTTATCATACCTGTACCAACAATGCTACGTCAACTAGATTGTGCATCGTGCGTGACTTTTGTTTTAAATATAAATTAGTCTGAACAATGTCTATACTTTTTAGAAGGTAAAAAATATATAATATGTAAATTTAACATTTTTACTTTATAACATTTTATAAATACATAATATATGTGTTGTTTATCAATTATAATACTAACTATCATGTTGACAATGCTGCAGGAATGCTGATAGAAGACCCACAATAATTTAGATTTTAGTTATAATATATTTTATTTATTCAGTGAATTTCGAACCAATGTAATAAATTTTTATTTTTATTATTTCAATTGTGAAATGTCAAAATTTTCTTTCAAAATTACGTATATTTTATGCTAACAATTTAAAAATATGTTTGACATAATCATAAATAAAATTTTTAAATCCAATCCCGTGCATAATACGGGTGATGTGCTAGTTTAGTTAATAATACAAAATATTGCATTCAAACTATAATTATTTTACCTTTTCTTTCACATTTATCAAATCAACTATAAAAAAAAAAGTCAAAATATAACTTTTTTAAACAAGCTAAAATAGATTAAAAAAAAATTAAAAAAAAAAGAAAAAAGATCAAGCTAAATTAGTTCATCTCAATCGAAGGCTTACTGTGATATATTGGTAAAAAAATCACTTTAAAGATAACAAATATCAAATTAAAATTTTACTCTCTTTGAAAAATGACAACTTTATTGGGTTAAATTTCAGACAACAAAATAATTTTTTTAGGTAAATTTACACTGACTAACCTTTTAGATTTTAAAAAATTGTACATAATCTTATAATTTTGGCATAATTATACTAAGTATTTAAATTTTTAGCTAAAAGAAATAAAAGATCAAAAATTTTATTTGTTATTGGTTAAAAAATTTAAACAGTTAAATTCATTTTTATTTATAAAAAACAATTTCTTTAGTCACTTTTTAAACTAATTGAAAAAGTATAAAAAAAGAAAAAAAAAAAACCTCAACCACCTGCCTTAGTCGTCTTGGTTGTAGAGAGAATTAGGAAACTAGAAGAGAAAATGATGATAGGGAAGAGTGAGAGGTTGAATTAATGGTAGTTTTTTTATTAAAAAAATTTAATAATTACTTTAGTCAATTTTTAAATTTAATTAATTCCAAACACCTTAAATTGAAAGTCAAAAAAAAAAAAAAAAGCGTCAGCCACCTGCCCTAGTCGTCTTGGTTGTAGAGAGAATTACCAGAGAAAACTAGAGGAGAAAATGTGATAGGGAAGAGTGAGAGGTTGAATTAATAGTAGTTTTTTATTAAAAAAATTAATAATTTCTTTAGTCAATTTTTAAATATAATTAATTCCAAACACCTTGATTTGAAAGTCAAAAAAAAAAAAAAAAAAAAAAACCCCAACCACGTGCCCTTAGTTGTCTTGGTTATAGAAAGAGAATTATCAGAGAAAACTATCCGTCTTAAAATTTGATTATTTTAATTAATTTTTTTATGACTATTTTAATATAGTGAAAAAAAATTTATTTGGAATGATAATTAATTTTTTTATAGTTGATTTGATGGTTATAAAAGAAAAATAAAATAATCATGATTTAGATGTGATATTATACCTTATTAATTATTTAAACCTTTTTGTCTTTATTTATTATTTTAGCTAAACTTTGATATCTCAAAAGGGTGAATTAAGGTAGAAGAATCACATTAACAAAACAATCGTTAGTCCTAACTCGTGCCATTAGAGTAAGATGTGGTTTGGTAATTTATAATTAAGGTTTGGTTTGGTAATAGTTAGTATTGATATTAAGGTGTGGTTTGGCAATATTTATAATTTATAAAATAATATTAAACATGTTTTTGTTTGTTTTGAATAAAAACAAAAATTGAAAATATGTTTTGTATATAAGTATTTTAAAATTTCATTTTGAAAAAAAAAAAAAAAGAAGTGAAAATGAGTGGTTGATGAAGAGTGTTAGAGGTGCTGATAAGAAGTGGTTGCCGGCTATGTGAAGTGATGGTTAAAAGTGGTTGTCATTGGTCAAAAATAGTGATGAGTCAGTCGCCTAAGGTGGTAGCCAAAGGTGATTATCACTTGTAGAAGTTGGTTGGTGTCAGCAATAGGTAAGCTAATAGATGAAGTCATCGATAATGGGTGGCGATGAGCAATAGGTGGTCATTAGAAAGCGTGAGAGAATAGAGGAAGAAAAGAAAATTAATAACAATAATAAACGAAAAAAAATATTAAACAGGTGTAAGCCAATTTTTTTGTGTTTATGAAATTTGAAAACAAAAATAGAAATCAAATGAATTTTTTTACAAATTCTAAAAATTGAATAAATATAAATATAAACGTTAACATGGAGAGTGAGATTCATTCAACGCCTATGGTTTTCTCATAATAAACCTAGTTGGCCCACCAAGAGAAGTTGGAAGCAAATTTGTCTAACTCACGAAATTGGAAGTCTAATGGAGAAAAATATGAGGAAGACTTGGTATAAACAAATAATAAAGCATTTAATATTCTCTTTTTGACTTTAAACTGATAAAAAAATTAAGCAAGTGTAAACCAACTTTTCTATATTTATAAAATTTAAAATAATAATAGAAATTGAACGGGTTTTTATTTTTCATTTTTAAAAATTTTATAAATATAATTAATTTTTTTTTTTAAATATAAACAATTGGAGAGTGAGATTCATTCAACCCCTTTCATTTTCTCATTGGAGGGGGATCCCCTCCAATCCATATTTTAGACTGAAGGTGTTATTTGGATCCGTAGGATCCACCACAGATCCCGTTTTAATGATCCAAACAGTTCATTTTGTTGGGCATTTTGTATATTTCACCCACAAAAAAAATTAGGTTAATCTAATAACTGTAACTTATTCAATTTATTACGTTTGTCACTAAAAAAAAGTATGATTTATTTTTAAAAACACAATTGTTGTCTATTTTTTTAGTGAAAAATTAAATAAGTTACAATTATCGGATTGATCTAATTTTTTGTGTGGATGAAATACATGAAGTACCTGACAAAATAAACAGTTCGAATTATTGAAATAAGACCGGCGATGAAGACTCAAAAAGCACCATCCAGTCCAAAATGTGGACCGCAGCTGATCCTCCTCCTTTCTCATTATAAAAATAGTTCGCCCACCAAGCAGTTGGGAAGTAAATTATATGAGGAAGACTTGGTATAAACAAATAATAAAGCCTTTGAAATTTTCTCTTATTGACTCAACTGATAGAAAAATGGATTGCTTGATTGATTCTATACAATATCATAAATAATTGTGCAGAAACTAAACAAGTCCTCAATGGATTCCATTACCAATCTACTACTCTCATCTTTTCTCTGTTCCATCTTAGTAGTCTCCACCACTGCAGTGAACACAATATCCGCAACTCAATCCATTAAAGATGGTGACACAATAGTCTCCATTGGAGGAAGCTTCGCGCTCGGGTTTTTCAGCCCTGGAAGTTCCAAAAACCGATACGCTGGCATATGGTACAACAAGATATCTAATGATTCGAGGACTGTTGTATGGGTTGCCAATAGAGAAACCCCCGTCACCGATTCCTCGGGCATTTTAATGGTTACCCAACAAGGCGTTCTCGTCCTCCTCAACAGTACAGAAAGTATCATTTGGTCTTCCAATTTGACAAAACCCAGAAAAAACCCAGTTGCAGAGCTCCTGGAATCAGGGAATTTGGTTCTGAGAAATGCTGATGATGATAACCCGGAGAATTATTTGTGGCAGAGTTTTGACTATCCGACTGACACGTTTTTACCAGGTATGAAGTTTGGAATTCACTATGAAACTGGGCTTAATATGAGCCTGTGGTCATGGCAGAGCAGTGACAATCCAGCTCAAGGAGATTATACATATAGTATGGATTCTCATGGATTTCCACAGTATTTTCTCAGGAAGGACACTGTCAAGGTGTTTCGATCAGGGCCGTGGAATGGTGTCCGGTTCAGTGGAATGCCTACTATATCTTCAAACCCCATTTACAATTTCACTTTTGTGTTGAATCAGAATGAGACTTATTTCAATTATGATCTTCTCAATAGCTCGGTTGTCACAAGAATGGTGATGAATCAGGATGGTGTTCTAAGGCGCATGACGTGGATAGAAGGATCATCCACGAGTTGGGTTGAACACTTGACTACAGAGATGACAAATTGCGATACTTTTGCATTTTGCGGTCCTTATGGTCTCTGTACTGTTAGTAATTCCCCAGAATGTGGTTGTTTGCAAGGATTTGAACCAAAATTTCCTAAAGATTGGGGTACGGATTGGTCAAATGGGTGTGTTCGAAGAACACCCTTGAATTGCAGTGGTGTTAATGGAGATAAGTTTTGGAAGTACACCGGTGTTAAAGTGCCGGATACAGAAAATTCATGGTTCAATGTGAGCATGACCCTTAAGGAATGTGAGACCATGTGTTTGAAGAAATGCTCGTGTATGGCTTATGCGAATTTGGATGTAAGTGGAGAGGGAAGTGGGTGTTTGCTTTGGTTTAATGAACTTGTTGATATCAGAGTCATTGAAAATGGCCAAGATCTTTATGTTAGAATGGCTGCCTCTGAATTTGGTAAGAATTTCTTACCCATTAAGAGCATTGATGCTATAAAATTTTTAGCCCTCTTCAAATTTAGTCCTCCAAACATATTAGGTCTCATTGAATCTGGATCAGCATGATCAAATTCATTATCTTGTTCATTCTTGATCATACATCATACTATGTAACCTGTGCCTTTCTTAGTTCTCTATACTCATCTAACACTACACATAATGCAAACAATCACAGCTAATGCTAATATATGCATATTAATTTCCACAAAGAATCTTGATATATAAATTCTCATGTCTGAATTTGGTTTCAAATTAACAAAAAGAGAGTCACAGTAAGTTTGCATCGTCTTTATTGATCATACATTTCATTTGAGTAGATAAATTGGGATGAATTCACCATAGATCCCTTATAACCCACCTGGAATTTCTTAGTTTCCCCAAATTTAAATGATTTTAACTAAATTGTTTCGGTATTAGGTCAAGCTGGCCACAATTGGAACAAGGCAGAGACGATCATAGTCATCTCAGTAGTCTCAACAGCAACACTTACACTTGGCCTGGCCATTTCATTGTACATTTGGAAGAAGAAGGAGTGGCAGAAGAGAGAAGGTAATAACAATTAGTCAATAATGCTTCAATATCTCACCTACGTGTTCTAGTTGGCACGTATACTTGTTTTGAACAAATTGTTTCATTTAAATGTTCTTGACACCCCCTTTCTGCAGGAAGAACAATAGGTCATCCTGAACAAGGTTACTACAAAGAATCCAAGAATGAAGATATAGAATTACCATTATTCCACTTGGTTACAATCACTAAAGCTACGAATAACTTTGCAATCAACAATAAGCTTGGAGAGGGCGGCTTTGGACCTGTTTACAAGGTAATAACATAGTTACACTAACAAGAGTTTTCAGTATCCGAACTCATTTAAACAAACAAAAATGCTGTATAATTTTTCAGGGTATGTTGGAAGGGGGACAAGAAATAGCTGTGAAGTTGCTATCAAAGGATTCCAAACAAGGAGTTGATGAGTTCAAGAATGAAGTTATCTGCATTGCCAAGCTTCAACATCGAAATCTTGTAAAGCTTCTAGGGTATTGCATTCAAAGAGAAGAAAGGATGTTAATATATGAATTCATGCCCAACAATAACTTGGACTCCTTTATTTTTGGTATGGCTTTCTTATACATACTCGAGAAGTTAAATACTAGCTAGAAGCTTGGTTTAACTTGGGTGAAAAATTGAACAGATCAATCACAGAAGATGCTACTGGATTGGCCTAAGCGCTTCCACATCATAAATGGAATTGCTCGGGGGCTTCTTTATCTTCATCAAGATTCCAGACTAAGAATTATCCATAGAGATCTGAAAGGAAGCAATATTCTACTAGATTATGAGATGAACCCAAAAATATCAGACTTTGGCTTAGCCAGAATCTTTGGAGCAAACGAGACGCAAGCAAATACGAGAAGAGTGGTTGGAACATAGTAAGAATCTTCAAACCAATTCAAATTTTTTCTCTTTCAACTATATAAATTGGTTTATTTGTTCATTTTTTTCCTGTAGTGGCTACATGTCTCCCGAATATGCAATTGAAGGACTCTTCTCAGTAAAGTCCGACGTATTTAGCTTTGGCGTTTTGGTACTAGAAATAGTGAGTGGGAAGAGAAACAGGGGATTCTATCACCAAGACCATCACCTCAACCTTCTTGGGCATGTAAGCATAGAGTTGAATAATATAATCTCACAAAAGAAAGTTACAGAATGATGTTGCAATGATATCTCTAAAAGTAATTTAGAGCCATTTCAAAGGGTGTTAAATAGAAAGGCTCAATTCAGCAACGTCATTCTTTATAAAAATTAAAACAATCACTTAAAAGTGTTTCTAACTGTTCAGGCATGGAGATTATACAAGGAAGACAGAACCAGAGAATTGATTGATGAACCAATACAAAACTCATGCAATATACCTGAGGTGTTGCGTTCGATTCATGTTGGTTTATTGTGCGTGCAACAACGGCCAGAGGATAGGCCTAACATGGCAAGTGTGGTTCTGATGTTGGGCAGAGAGGGTGCACTGACTCACCCCAAACAACCTGGTTTTTTCACTGAAAGGAATCTGCTTGAAGGAGAGTCAACAGGAAGTGAGGTTGAACAATGTTCAGCCAACATGGTTAGCACAACAGTGGTAGAGGCACGATAGAAGACAATTCCTAGTGATATTTTAATTGTTATGGTTGAAAACTTTTGAGTCTGTTTAGCTAACAAACACAAGAAAGGAATGTTTGTTTTTGGAAGTTTACCATATAGCATGTATATTTTAAGGTTTTTGTCTTCTATATATATATATATAGATGTTCTAATCATTGTAAAGAGATCACAGTTAATACATATAATATGTCACGTTCTTCCATAAAACTTACAAGATATTTGTAGCCTTTGAATGGTGTTTCACATATGTATCTGAATATAAAGAATGTGAAATCATATCTCTTAATCCCTATAGATATTGCATATGACATTGTAATGTGTTTGGACTAAGCAAATTGAGAAATAAAAATGCTAAAATGAAGTTCCATCTCACGTGTACAAGTAGGCAAACAAGAACTAGTTATGAAACAAAGAGTAATGATATGCAAACATAAAAATTATACATAAAATTTATATAGAATGATGTGACAAATTTGTCTACAGAAAAGAGTGCGCATGTTGTCAATATGTATATTCTTGACACTTTGTGTGCATGTAAACTTGTAACCAGAAACAATGATTAAGGTTTCACCTTAATCATTGTATAATATCTATCGACCACTTAACAGAGTAACAGTGATTTCATTGCATGTAGTTGTTGCTTCCTTGTTTGACAAATAACCAGGCTCAACAACATTTCTTGCAGTGAAGAAACCAGGCTCTTTGGCCTGAGGCAATGCAATTTCACTACCTAACATCATAACCGCAGATGACATGCTTGGCCTATCCGCTGGACATTCTTGCACACATAAAAGACCCACATGGATTGATCGCAACATTTTAGTTTGGTTGCATGACTCTATAGAGCCTCATCAATCAATTCCAATGGCTTTTTCTTCTTTATAGAGATTCCATACCTAAACAATCCACTACAATATTAGCAGTATGAGGGAGGTATCAAATCCTCTCTCCGCAAATTTGACTGTCCCTTTGTCTCAAAATACTCAGTTACGAGAGTTTTGAAATGACGAGACAGAAAACTTTAAAGATAGAAGATCCTTGAACCTTATTGGAACACATGCTTATAATATAAGAATACTTTTAAACTTGGTACACTTACATGGCCAAGTAGGTTGAGGCGGTGCCCTGGATGATAGAAACCTCTATTTTTCTTCCCACTCACAATCTCTAGCACCAAAATGCCAAAGCTGAATACATCTGATTTTACTGAAAATAACCCATCTATTGCACACTCTAGAGACATGTACCCATTGCAACAAAGCATAGGATGAAAAACTGGATTTTGAAGCAACAATATAAGTGAATTAGACAAAACATATTATAGAGATTCTTACTATGTTCCAATCACTCTATTTGTATTTGCTTCTGTCTCATTTCCTCCAAAACATCTAGCTATTCTAAAATCTGATATTTTTGGGTTCATGTCAATATCTAGCAAAATATTGCTAGCTTTGAGATCTCTGTGAATAATTCTCAGCCTAGAATCTTGATGAAGATAAAGAAGCCCTCGTGCAATCCCATTGATAATGTGGAAGTGCTTCGACCAATCCAGTAATGTGCTTTGGCTTTGATCTGTCCAAATTTTTTTTCTGATTTAGTCCACACTCCTGCTAATCCGATAGATGAATTTAACAAGATTCCTTAATAGAAAATCCCAAATTTTGGAAGACCAAGTTCATGCAAATGCACATGTAATAAAAACCACATATAACATATAAACTGAAAACAAACAAAAAAAAAGTATGGGAAAAAAGAAAAAAAGAACAACTGCTGGTTGTGGTCTCAAAGTGGAATAGCTGCGGTATATATAGTATTATAGTTTTGAAGAGAGCAAACCAAATATAAAATAGGCTAGGCTTTTGTTGGGCATTTATTCATAGATTAACATCGTTTCTTCTCCTTGAATGAAGCATCCTAGAAGCTTCATGAGATTTCAGTGTTAAAGTTTGGCAATACAGATAACTTCATTCTTGAACTCATCAAGTCCTTGGCTAGAATTCTTTGAGAGCCGTTTCACAACTATTTCTTGTCCTTTTTCCAATGTACCCTGAGAATTACCATTATAATTGATAGAATGATCTTCTGCTAGAATTAGCTTGAAAGCAAACAATTATTATTATTTTTTTTTGGTTGCCATTCTTATTAATTATATCTTTACTTACTATTTTTATGTTGCTCTGGCTGACATTGTTCCAACAGGTGCAACCATGACCAGTGATTTATGTTATAACTACTTAAAGACAAAATTACAGACTTGTGAAATTCCATATGGAGAAAAGATGCATCAAACCAAATGTATTCTTTGAAAGCTGAAAGAAGAACATAAAATTCGTCAAAGGCAGGCATATTTATAAAAATTTTAGCTTCGAAATAGTGGGGTTTATATTAAAAGATTTTACGGAATAGAAAGTTTAGGAACACAACTTTTTTTTTAAAAGTGGGGCCCCAAACACCAAGATGAATGCAGTGTTGTAGCCTGAAGAACAACGCATGTAAACTTGTAACCAGAAACAATGATTAAGGTTTCACCTTAATCATGGTATAATTTCTATCGACCACTTAACAAAGTAACAGTGATTTCATTGCCCGTAATTGTTGCTTCCTTGCTTGACAAATAACCAGGCTCAACAACATTTCTTGCAGTGAAGAAACCAGGCTGTTTGGCCCAAGGCAATGCAACTTCACTATCCAACATCATAACCACAGATGACACGTTTGGCCTATCCGCTAGACATTCTTGCACACATAAAAGACCCATATGGATTGATTGCAACATTTCAGTTTGGTAGCATGATTCCCATAAAGCCTCATCAATCAATTCCAATGGCTTTTATTCTTTATAGAGATTCCATACCCGAACAATCCACTACAATATTAGTAGTTTGAGAGAGGTATCAGATCCTCTCTCCCCAAATCTGACTATCCCTTTGTCTCAAAATACTCAGTTACGAGAGTTTTGAAATGACGAGACAGAAAACTTTAAAGATAGAAGATCCTTGAACCTTATTGGAACACATGCTTATAATATAAGAATACTTTTAAACTTGGTACACTTACATGGCCAAGTAGGTTGAGGCAGTGCCCTGAATGATCGAAACCTTTGTTTTTCTTCCCACTCACAATATTCAACACCAAAACGCCAAAGCTGAACACATCTGATTTTATTGAAAATAACCCATCTATTGCATACTCTGGAGATATGTACCCATTGCAACAAAGCACAAGATGAAAAACTGGATTTTAAAGCAACAATATAAGTGAATTACACAAAACATACTATAGAGATTCTTACTATGTTCCAATCACTCTATTTGTATTTGCTTTTGTCTCATTTCCTCCAAAACTTCTAGCTATTCCAAAATTTGATATTTTTGGGTTCATGTCAATATCTAGCAAAATATTGCTAACTTTGAGATCTCTATGAATAATTCTTAGCCTAGAATCTTGATGAAGAAAAAGAAGCCCCCATGCAATCCCATTGATAATGTGGAAGCGCTCCGACCAATCCAGTAATGTGCTTTGGCTTTGATCTGTCCAAATTTTTTTTCTGATTTAGTCCACACTCCTGCTAATCCGATAGATGAATTTAACAAGATTCCTTAATAGAAAATCCCAAATTTTGGAAGACCAAGTTCATGCAAATGCACATGTAATAAAAACCACATATAACATATAAACTGAAAACAAACAAAAAAAAAGTATGGGAAAAAAGAAAAAAAGAACAACTGCTGGTTGTGGTCTCAAAGTGGAATAGCTGCGGTATATATAGTATTATAGTTTTGAAGAGAGCAAAGCAAATATAAAATAGTCCAGGCTTTTGTCGGGCATGTATTCATATATTAACATCGTTTATTCTCCTTGAATGCAGCATCCTAGAAGTTTCACGAGATTTTGGTGTTGAAGTTTGGCAGTATAAATAACTTCATTCTTGAACTCATCCAGTCCTTGGCTAGAATTCTTTGAGAGCCATGTCACAGCTATTTCTTGTCCTCCTTCCAATATGCCCTAAGAATTACCATTATAATTGATAGAATGATCTTCTGCTAGAATTAGCTTGAAAGCAAACAAATTTATTTATTTATTT